GTTAAGTAAAATAATAAGAATATATATATAATACAGACACACAAGTATATATATAGATATATATATATATATATATATATATATATATACATATATTAAATACATACCTTCTAAAATCAAATGTATTTAGCCTTGTTTAGAATTTAGAAGGCTATGCTAAAATAGACAAAAAAAATAGCTATCTATCACCGAAAGCGTAGCTGTAGAGTGCAGTGTTGTCACGATCGCCCCAGCTGTTCAGTGATAGGGACAAGTCTTAAATTTCGCGCCAATCGCAAACAAAAAGCTGCAACACTCAGGATGGCGTCGCGTGAGAATACGATGCGGCATTCTATTGTAGAGAATATCTCCGAAAACGCATACAGATTCCAAAATAATCACCTTGGATACGTCTTGTGAAAGCACTACGGCGACAAACGAGCCAGTTCAATAAATGCCTAGGGTCAATCACAATCCCAATTATGGGGATGTGAACCACAGCGGTTAATACCCAGCCCTTGTGCAGAGAAGGCCAAGCTCAATAGGAGACCAAGTCTGCTCGCGTCAAAAACGAGACGCTGCGTTTGTCCCGGGCGCCGAGAAGTGAAAGCAAGGTTTTTCCAAGTCCGACAATTCATTAGCTCACAAGCGGATTTGTGAGTTTGAGAGAGCAAAGATTCGGGAAGGTGTCTGTGACTCTGTGTCCTGTGACTCTGTATGGGACTGTGGGCCTGTGGCCTGTGACCGACAACACGCGGTCACATGGTCACTGTTAAATTATACCCGCACTTTCGGCACCTTTTCAAGTTTTCAGCCTCAGAGTCAGGGACCAGCGTTGTTATCAAGATATATACAAGGTCTGCATCCACACCTACGAAACCATCGCACGAGATATTTGTGACATGGATATGATTTCATGCATTTTCAGCATGTACGTAAACAAGTACAGATGATACTGAAGTCGGATGATCTACCAATGCGTTCTAAATTTTAGGCCATACGAAAGCGAGCTCAACAATATGGATCGACGGGCGCGTTGGCAATACGCAAATATTGAAGTTGCCGAACCCAGACAGCTGTAGTTCGATGAGAACTCAGTATGATTTGTTGTAAACCGGTTTACACAAAAAGTAATACTATTGAGGCCAGACTTCACATCGCGGAGACTAACTCAGGATTGAATCAACCATATGCATGAAAAGCTGGGTCCTGTATATCTGCAAATATCACCCATCTCCTGGCTGTGTATAAGCGAGTGTTCAAGTGCCGCAGCCGACAAGGTGGTGGTGCTAAACGCCGACATAATGTCACTTCTCAGCATAATAAAAAATGAAGCAGAAGTTAAAGTGTGAGGTTTGATCTTAGAAAGATGATGGCAACGATTTTAAGCTCGTGTAGACATATTGATACGCGCATTCATATGAGAGGAACATGTTCAACACACTATGAACGAATGTACTAGCAGAATCTCTCCGACCTTCAACACTTAGAAAAACAGAAGCACATTTTGAAATCAATAAACAGGCTTAAAATTTGAGGCCCCTTGCCGGAAAAGATGGCACAAGCAGATCTCGAACAAGTGCGTCACAAGATTGAGTCCATCAAAATATAAAGGTCCAGCGTTGCACTTTATATATACATAT